CGTCGCGAGGAGGTCGTCCCGGAAGAGGTCGCCCGAGCCGTTGCCGACGCGCAGGACCAGGTTCACCTGGGCCCACTCGATGCCGCGGAGCGAGACGCCGAGGATGCCCCGGCTCGCGCGGCGCCCGGGCGCCGGGTCGTGGGGAAAGAGGTCGCCGAGCTTGACGTCGTCGGGTTCGTCGACGCGCTCGAGGACCGATCGTCCGCCGCGATGCGGGACCAGCGGTGCGCCGAGGAGGTCGGTGCCGGCGGTGCGTTCCAGGGCCTTCCAGTCGAGGGCGCAGATCCGCTCGTTCGTCGAGTAGAAGGCCGTCGGGACGGCGCCGTTGGACGACTCCATGTAGGGGTTGTCCAGCAGGAGCTCGCCCCGGAGCCGCGTCCAGACGTCCTGGAGCGTGAACCAGAGGTTGGCCTCGGTCCCCGCGATGCTCCGCGCGAGGAGCACGTCGCCCGTCTTCTCGTCGGTGACGAAGACGACGACGGGCGGCTCGTCGCCGCCGAGGTTGTCGAAGCCGTCGCGCTCCCCGACGGGCCCCCTCAGCAGCGGCGGGAAGCGGCCGTCGCCGACGGCGGCGTCCTCGCAGACCACCTTGAGGCGGATCATGCGCGGCCCGCGCTGGCTGAGGCGCAGCGGCCCGGGGCAGAGCACGTCCAGGGCCACGTCCCACTCCGCGAGCGCGGTGTCGACCATGCCCTCCGCGGTCGTCGCCGTGCCCGCCACGAGGTCGATGAGCCGCCGATCGAGGGACTTGCGCAGCGGCGTCGCGGCCACGACCAGGCGGGTGACGCGCGTTGCGTTCTTGCTGACGTACATGGCGACGAACTCCGAGACGGTCACTCGCCGGAGCACGTTGTCGACGTCGTGGCGCGAGATGATGTCCTGCACGACGAGGTTCCCGGGCATGCCCCGCACCTGGACCTCGAGCCGCAGGCTGCAGTCCTCGTCCTGGTCCGCGGCGAGGCGCCCGCCCTGGAGCTCGAGGTGCACGAGGTGCGTCCGCCGCATCCGCCGCGCGAACGCCGCGGCCTCGGCGACGGGGATCGTCGGCCGGACGCGCTCGTAGACGCCGTCGATCTTCCGCTCGGCGTCGAAGGCGGCCACCACGGCGTCGCGGTCGAGGCTGCACGGGTCGCAGGCGACGTAGACGCGCGCGGTGTGCGCGTCCTGCGGCTCGAACGGGAACGCGCAAAGCAGCGCGCCGAGCTCGCGGACGCTCCCGGCCCAGGGCCGCCCGCCGAGCTCGACGCCCCGCGCCGTGATGGACGCGAAATTCGGCGGCGACGCGGCGATGCCCGCCGACTCGTCCGTGACGACGACGACGAGCTCCGCGCCGGCCGCGTCCGCTTCTTTGAAGACGATCTCGCACGACTCGCGCACGAGGCGCGACCGCGGGAACGGCGCGCAGGGCGCGCCGCGCTCGCTCACGTAGGCGACGGCGCCCGACGGCACGGCGACGCCCACGTTCCTCTCCCAGTCGTCGACGACCCACTGGATCGTCCGCGGCTTCGCCAGCGCGCAGTTGTAGTGTCGCCGCCGCCCGACGGGGTCGGACCACTCGAGGATCACGGAGATGTCCGCCCAGCCGCCGCCGCAGCCCGACGCGCTCGAGTCGCGGAACTCGCTCGCCATCGCCCCCGCCGCAGCGCTCGCGACGCTGTGCGAGGGGCTCTTTCAAAGACGCTGGGCTGCCTTTGCCGCGAGCCGAAAGCGAGAGGCAGCACCACTTCACCGCCCCTGCATCATTGGCGTGAGCGGCACGGCCTCTGGCAGGCCAATCGTCTTGCGATACGCGGCGGCGGCGCTCGTCGATCCGCGCGGGCGCCGACATGGCCAAGGACTTTGGCGAGCTCGTGCTCGTCCTCGGCGACGCGCACATCCCCCACCGCGCGGGCTTCATCCCGGACAAGTTCCAGCGCATGCTCGCGCGACGGCGGCGTCGAAGACGCGCGCGCGCCGCGACGCGCGCGGCCACCAAATTCCCCCGCGTCGATCGTAGGTGCCGAACAAGATGCAGCACGTCATCTGCACGGGCAACCTCGCGACGCGGGAGCAGTACGAGGAGATCCGGAGCCTCGCGCCGAGCAGCCACATCGTCTGCGGCGACTTCGACGAGGGCCAGGCGTTCCCCGAGACCAAGGTCGTGACCATCGGCGACTTCAAAATCGGCATCGTCCACGGCCACCAGGTCGTGCCCTGGGGCGACCCCCACAGCCTGAGCATGGTCCAGCGCCGCCTCGACGTCGACATCCTCGTGTCCGGCCACACGCACAAGAACGAGGTCAGCGAGGTCGACGGCAAGTGGTTCATCAACCCGGGCTCCATCACGGGCGCCTACAGCAGCCTCCAGGCCGACGTCGTGCCCTCCTTCATCCTCCTCGCCGTCCAGGGCTCCAAGGTCGTCACCTACGTCTACGAGCTACACGGCGACACGGTCGAGGTCTCCAAATCCGAGTTCTCCAAGGCGTGAGCCCCCGCGTTTTAATCGCCGCCCTTAGAGGTAGTCCGCGTGGCTCCGCTTCGGCTTGAACATCTTGCACGGCTGCTTCTGGACGTTGTCCGCGATCGCGCAGAACGACGTCTGCGAAGCAGGGCGGTGCGCGCGCGAAACGAAAGACGCGGACGCGGCGGCCGCGCGTGCATCCAGTCGATGTGGTCCACGGCCGGGTTGTCCTTGGGCCGCTTCCGCGCCATCTCCTCCTCGGAGACGCCCGCGAGGTAGTCGCGGAACGCCTCGCAGAGGTAGAGCTCCCGGTTCTCGTCCTGGTCGCAGAACCTGGGCCAAAACGGGCGCGTCGGCGCGCGCCGCGCGCGGGACGCCGCAGGACGCGCCAGCTGTGCATCTCGAGCATGTCGGCCTCGACCTCGGACCGCTCGCGCGCCTTGCGCTCGTCGGCCTCCTCCCAGGTCTCGTGGTCGTATTTGTACATGGCGTTGATCTCCTCGAAGTCGTCCGCCGCCGCCATTGCCGCCGCGGCGACGACCGCGAGCGCGACGCGCGCGCGCAACATCGATCGGGGCAGCCCCGCAAAATTCGTCACGAGTCGTGAGGTTCAAGAAAATGTTCAAGCAAAATCGGCGGCGCGCTTACGAGTTGAGGGGGGTCGGTGGCGCCCTCGGCGCCCTCGGCGCCCTCGGGACGAGGGCGCCGCCCCCTCGTCCGACGCCCTCGGCTGAGGGATTTTCCCCTCGTCCGAGGGAGCCGAGCGTCCGAGGGTCCGAAATGGC